TCTTTATCAAACCTATGGTGTCGGTTGATTTTAAGGTAGCTCTGTGAGCATCATCGTGTTCTGTTAACCACATTGTATCAAATAGTGTACAGGGAGATAACACGACGAATTAAGGGATATTGTCTTGATTTGTGATCGTTATACCTTGAGCACTTTTAAGTAATTTTTTTGCAGGTGAACTCTGAGCTATCGAAATGGAGCCTGTTTAAATTCTTAAAACTGCAATAACAGACAAGCATGATTACACGTCCGGCAGAAGAGAACCTTCTGTCGTTTTCTTTCGCGTCTGGTCAGTTAAAGAATGTAAAAGTGTTGCTAAGCCTGTTCACTAAGATTTCACTTACAGATAGTGTAAATTAACCGGGGCTCGACCAAATTTTCTCTATAGAGATGTTAACATTATCCCTCTGTTATCAGGTATGGCTCATAGAAAAAGAACCCGGGACCGAAGACCCTTCAGCGTGTTCCTTGGCGTTCCGTCGCAGCGCTCCACTTCCTGTCAGAAACTCCTTGACACAAATCTTGCCTGACGAGCATAGTGGAGATGCATCGAACTCACCAGTTTTCCACATCTGCGATACATTTCATCAGAGAATGAAACTCGACATTCTAATGCCGTCTGTAGGATTTGATTGCCGTTTGAAAATACGAACATGTGAGGAAACATTTCTATCAAACTTGAGATAAAAGACGTAAAATGATTTTACAACATTCTGCATGTTATTTGCTTCTCCAGATATGACTTTGAAACATTAATGATTATCTAATTGCTTACAACGTCTGGCATTTCCTTCCCATTCTGTCCACAAGAACAGAAGAATTTCAGGCTAAATAGGTTATTGGCACGCCAGACTAAGTTTGATAGCCACCTTTAGCCTGATTGGTGAAAGGGCAGGGCCTACAATTTGAATATAATTAACTTAAATAAGTGATATTAGACCAGTAAAATCTGAATGATGATTTACCTTATGGAAATAACTTCCTTCTCAAAAAAATTACAATTTCCGAGAATACGCAAATGTCTTTGTGAAAGTGGAGCTTGTGATTCCAATCTTTAAACACATAGCCATAACAATCTTCAACAATTCTTCATCAAAGAAAGTTTTTAATGTTTCAACTTCCTCAAAATTGTAAAATCCCCAACTTTGGATAGCAAGTTGTTGCTATGGTGGCTAAAACGAATTTTGCGATGTTGAATTTAATTGAGTACACTTAGTGTGATTGGCTAATGTACCTGTCTGGTCACGATTTGAACCAAAGCAGTTGGTCCACCCATCACATAAGACGAAATGGTAAAGCCTATAATTTAATAATAAAAACGGACATAGCCTGACCTTACTTCTTTCCACTTTTAGTTCCAAAGTCTCCACAAACAACGACACCACAAGCAGAAGAAGAGCACAAAATTCTAGAAAACTACCTCATGGAAATGAGGATTGAAGATGGTCAGCTGAAGTTTCCACCAATTTCCAAGCTACCAGATGGGTTTGACCTTTTTTTTCAGCGTCGCAGCCTTCGAAAGACATATCGGTATGAAGATGACGGAGACATGTTCACTTTGACTGTTTGCAAAGACCAGTCAAAAGAAGTGAATGCCGACCAGACTGATGCGTACAGTTTTAATGAATCAGAAGCGAAGGTATTACTAGTCATACAGAAACAATTTAGCACTTATATGCATTTCCCTGATTCAAATCCGTCCTCACCATTAGGTGTAATTCTTCACGAATGTCATTTTTTCTTCCTTCGCTCACAGGTGGCTCAGTAAGCAATGTGAGCGTATGTTTGTTTTTTTGTCCCACGGTAAACGAAACCTGATATATGAAGTTGAAGTTGCATAACTATGGTTTAGATACGTTAAACTTGACTATATTTTGGAGCTTATGGAGATACATTTGTAGGATTGAACATATTTTATACAAGTTTGCATAGGAAAGCAGCGGATTCGGGCCTAGAGGCAGATGTTTTAGTTGTGTCCTAAGACTAACTTAAGTCATTACCATGTTGCGTTGCCTGTTTTCCTCTCGCTATAAATGCCTTAGATATTAAGTGTCTACCAAAC